CCCCAAAACCCCAAAACCCCAAAACCCCAAAACCCCTACACTTGGATAAATTGTTGACCTTAGAAATAAATTAAGCTCTGTTATCAGCAGGTTCAGCAATGATCTTTTCAATATTTTCAATACTCATTGTCATGTATTTGAAGATCTCATACAAGGGGTTGTTGTCTTGGCATCTTCTGTTACAAATGTATCATTGATCGAACTTGTTCTTGCTTACTAGTATAAGATCAACATGCTTCTTTGTCTTTTTATCATGAAGACGGATGGTAAGTTCAACATCTGGGCTAAGAAGATCATTTTTCTTAACAACCAAACTTTGTAATAGGACTTCTAAGTTAAGTCATTTTTGGTCTAAAAGCCTCTGGAGTGCTTCTTTCTGCTTAATCATTTGGATATGGCCTCCTTCCGATTGTCTCAGCTCAATATTCAATAGCTCATATGGTTTGAAAAATTTAAATATTGGAGTGGTGAAGATGAAGATGAATCCTCTAATATATTTCCATCAATAGAACTTATGTCTGACCTTCTTGTCAAAGAACTCTTCAAAAACATTCTTCAGGTTAGTTTGCAAGGTAGAATTTTCATACTCTTGACTAGGAAGAGTGAGTTCAAACTTTAGGTATGATCAATTTTGCCGACGCTCTACTAAATGATTTTTAACTTCTTCTGCAAGACTAATTTCCATGTTTTGCTCGTCAGATTTAATCATGACATAGCTATTATCTGGAGGATCACCATGCACGATGTAGACCTTAATACTTTCAATGAATCTTCCGAAGTTGGGGTTGTCAAATCTGGAAGATCCAGAGCTACTAAGCTCGAAGGTCTCTCAATCTGGCACTCTTTCCATTTCAAGAGTTTGGTATCTGAAGTTCTCGTTCTGAAGATTTCTGATAATATAAAGGCATCCAAGGTAATCAAAGATTATTTTAAAACAAGAATGGAACTCTCTGACTGAGTTTGTCTTGAAATCAATACACTGGCTGTCATTTGAAAGGTAATTCTCCCTATTGCTATCGTACTCTCTACCTAAAAGCTCCTTTTCTAAATTTATAAGCCGCTATTCTTACCTATCTTCTTTTTAATCACAGAATGAAATCTAGGAATTGGCAGGATATGGTACGCCAAATCTGCAGGATCACAGTAGAAGACTGATTGAGCCTTATCGTAAATTTGGAATTGGAAAATGAATCTTCTCCCTTCACGAGGGAAAAGAATGTCAAGAGCGAAGAAATCCCTGTAGTAAATGGTGAGCTCTTCTTTCGTCCTGGTCACAAATGTTACGTTGTACTTCTCTTCTCCGTCAATAATACTTGGATAGAGAATCCTTCCAAGGATATACTCGTTGAATTCTACTAGAGAGTCTACTGAGCTCTCAAGGGAGTTTAGGATGGACCCAATGTCTGAAATATCCTTCTTGAGAGTGCAGAGGAGGAAGGATTGAGAGAAATTTGGAGATATTTGCACGTTTAACGAAGAGCTAGCCTGTGCGTCCATCTTGTGCTGCTGTAGCAAGTTCTTCTCGTTGTATGTGAGGACAAAACTCACTGATTTTATCTTAGTGTTAATATGGTTCTCTTTGCCTAAAGGAATCTGGAACACAAGGAACTCCTTAGTTGACTTATTTCTGTAGTGTCTAAGGAAGCTGAACATTTTATCATTCTTTTGAACCTCGAGGTATAGGAGTATGTCAAAGATCTTGGAAACCTGCCTGGCTAGCTCGATGAATCCTTTATATTTTGTTGATCTCTCATATGTGATGATAATCTGGTAGCATTTCAGGTCTATTACTACCGATACATCGACATCCATCAAGAAGTTTTTGAAGTAGTCTATGCCAAGCTTCTTATGCATATATCTCATTAAATCAATAGTTCTCTCATTGTTAACATCAAAAATCCAAGTTTTACAAGAATTTCTAATTTCGAGCATTGAGGGTTTAAAATGCTCATTGAACATTTTTAATGGCTTGAACTCATTGCTCAGATCAAAGTTAAAGCTTTTGATAAGAAGCCTCTTGTTAACTTGATCAAAGATGATATCCTGGCTGATCTTGCTAAATAAGGTATAGTTTGACTTTATCTGGTCACTAGTCTTATAATACAGGACAAGTTCTTTTACAAAGTTCCTTATCGTTCTAGAAGCTCCTACTCCATCTATGAAGGTGTCATTTGGCTGTAGATGCAAGTCATTGTCTACACAGATGAGGTTAGATAATTCCTCTAGCTGCGCCTCCTCCTGGTCGATGATTCTTCCGTAGAAGAACTTTAGTTCTACATCACTTATCTTGGAAGGCAAGGTGGGGAACTGATTCTTTCTGGGATCTTCTTTTTGTAAGAAATCACAAGGAATCTCAATAGTTATAAAATTGTATGTTTTGTCAGCTTTTATTATCGAAGATGGGTTAAAAATGGGCAAGCTCACCATGCTATCAAAAGGAGATAGAAGGACGTACAGATGGTTTCCATAAAATCCTCCTTTAAGTTTACTAACAATGGCATGGCTGAGGTTTAGGTTAGTCTTTGCAATATCCCAGATGTCGTTCTTAGTCCTTTGGATATGCATTCATTTTGCTTTCTTGATAGAGAAATGGTAGATCATTCTATCTGATTTCACAACGTGGAGGAAGTATTTCTTCAGTTCTCTACAGAATTCTGCACAGAAGTACTCAGTTCAAAGGATTTGAGCTAAAGTTTTGATCTCGATATATTTGAACTCAAGCAGATGGATAAAGTTGTTTAAAATATCTATTTGTTCAGATTTCAGGAAGTCTGAATCAGAAATATACAGCTTGCCTGTGTTTTGTCTTCAATCAAAATGGACAGATAAGCAGTCATAAATCATCAGTCTTGCTCTTATTTTGTAATCGGATTTACCAGAGGAATCCTCATCTTTGAGGTATTCAAGTTTCATCTTAACAATCTCTCCGGTGGGGTCTAGGATCTTACATTGTTTTTGAATTTTAGAAGCAAATAAGTAAAGATTTGTCTGACGAGCTTTTTCCAAGACAATACTAATAATATCCCTCGGGTTGGTTTCTTTTCTTGAGAGATTTAAGATTACGCTTCCTTTCCAGCTGATATTCTTCGGTTCTAACTCTCTATATCCATCTTCTTCGTCATCATGCATAATGATGTCTATTCCAGGTGAATCAATTTCAAGGACAGAGTCGATGAACTTGAAGGGAGTGTCCACTCTAAGAATAGGGTCATGGTAATATCCATCAATTCTGATCTGAAGTTCTGCAAAGACTTGTTGACTAAGCTCTGAGTGTTTATTCACAGTGTTTTCTATCTCGAGTCTGAGAAAATTGGGAGGGATTTTGCCTTTGGTAAATCCATGTCTAGCCCTTCTCTTGAAAACAGGTATGTTAAACTCTAGAGGATGAAACCGTCAGACTTACTAGTGGATACATAAACTGTTGTATTTGTAGAATAATTCTGGACCTTGGTTATTCTTTTCGCGACGTTGTAGGAAATTTCCTCTTCTTCTAGTTGAGCCTCAAGTGTAAGGTTTACCGCCTGAAAAATTAATGATCTTAGGTAATGCTTGACATAGAACATGATCTTCGATAATTGACGGTGCTCATCCTCGTGCTCTTCGTAAATTTCAAAATCTCTGATCGTGTCAGGGAGAATAGTTTTTATCTCTTTCTGGGTATTCGGAGAAAACTCTTCAGTTATCTTTTGATTTATTTTTCGGGTCAAGAGATGTAAGTCATAATTTAATCGGTTTTTGTGTTCCTTTCCGTCTTCCCAGACAGTGAAAATATCTAAGCTTTTCAGCAATGAAATTTTGAGCATTACAAATTTGATTGGTCTTTTCGGGAAATATAGGAGTTCTATCTCAGCTAGTTTTCCTATCTGACAGATTGCCTTCTCTCCTTTATAGTGGTGGTCATCAAAGTAATTCGTAATGCAGAAGGAAATATTTTCAAAAAATCCGGTGGTAGTAATCTCAGTATCAGCCTCTAAGATAGCTGGGGTATCCTCTTTCACCAATTTTTCAAAAGCTTGATAATCTGGGTCATTATTATTTTTAGCTTTGAGAATGTAGTCAAGCTTGAAGTAATCAATCTTTTTCTTTTCTTGCTTCATAAAGTACAGGGCTTCCTCTACAGCATAGATAGGAACTTTTAGATGATTTAGCGAGACTGCCAAATCTTTTAATTGTCCCACAATGTTTGTCACATGGACTCTTCTTTGGAACATTTGGGAGTTGATAACATTAATAGTCTCATAGACATTTATGTCATATGGAACTCTGAGCAAATTTCTGAACTGACTTATAAGTGTATTCTTTTCTTTTGCCCATTCTATCAATTCTCTCCTTCTTGTATTATCATCTCCTTCAGTAAGATGGGACGAGCTAGATGAACTATTCTGAAACTTCATCACAAGCTGGACATAATCTTGGTGCAAGGTGTAGGCTAAAGAGCGCGTTAGCTTTCCTAGGTTCAATGATTGTTCGTTCATGCTTAATGCTTGCCAAATAATTAAATATATAAATCAATCCTACAAATTAGTTATGGGGTTTTGGGGTTTTGGGGTTTTGGGGTTTTGGGGTTTTGGGGTTTTGGGG